TTTTTTGTTTGATAGTTGGAACCAAAAGTAGAAGCTTCTGAAAGCCATGCGCCGCCAGACGGGGGTCAGTGGCTGGTAGCAAGTTCTGTTGAATGCCCCTCATTTTATGAACTAATTGGTGTGTTTTTTTTTTTGCGAAGAGAAAAAGTGTTAGGAGTAGATGGTGTGTTTTTTTTTTGGTTTCTTATTATTTTCCGGTTGATCGTTTTTTTCTGCTCCCTCCCTATGCGAAGGTGGATGGTGGTTGCGGAGCCTCCAGCGACTTTCTTTTTGCGAGCTCCCAACAGCGCCATGTATCATATAAAATGTCTTTGCAAATTTATTTATTTTTTGACGTGTGTTTGTTTGTTTGTTTGTGGGCAGGTGCGCATGGCGCATTGGGCCAGTGAGCCAAAAACCTCCCTTGTTTTTTTCCCTCTCTGTGTGGGGAGAGGGCGTCATCCTGGTGCATCTTCACCATTTTAGTTTGCGGTGCGTGCTGCTGGAAAGATGCATTCGTGGAGAGAAGCGGCCCGTTTGAGTTTTTGCAGGTTTTGCGTTTTCTTAATTTTTTATTTTCAACGGTTTCGTAGCTGTTGTAGCTTCTTAGTGACGCCTGCAGTTGCTCCGTAACGGTGGCCGCCCCCACGCCTCTCTCCTCCCCATTCCCCGTTACAAACTGTTGTTTCTCTGGAGGCTGCAGCCCCCCACTTTGCCCAATAATGACGCAGTTCATAAATGTTGGGCGTTGTATTCATATGCGCATGTAACTCTCTTTTCCTCCTCTTTTGCCCGTGTTGCTCCTGTTCCATCTGCATTGTTGTACCTACGCGCCTGTGTGTGGAAGACATCGTGGTGGCGTTTTTCCCAAGCATGGGATGCGGACATTCAGTGCCGGGGCTGTCAGAGGGGGCGCCCGTTGCTCAGGCCATGGGCAGTGCCCACTGCAATGCGGACACGGAAACGAAATGCAGGTTTGCGGGTGATTATGGGAAAGAACCCCACAGATGACAAGAGCAATACAGGATAATTTGCATGGTGTGTTCCGCAACGCGCTGTCCTCTGCAGTGGAGCAAGTATACTTGATGCAGCGAAGCGGCGTCGCCGAACTTGATGCGGGGGAGATGGATGAAGTCACAGCTCTCACGCGTGGGTTAGATAATTTGAAGGCCAATCAAAAGGAAGCTCGCTTCACGCTACTGGGAAGCTGGAGGCTCCTGGAGGAAAAAGGTACGGTGGACCTCTTTGCGCAGCGTGTTTACGAAGACATGATGGAGCGTGATCCAGAGATCAAAGAAATTTTCCTTGGAAGTGATATGCCTGAACAATCCAAAGTGCTCGGACGAATGCTTGCGACGGCGGTTAACTTCTATACAAGGCAGGACGTGATGCAAAGAATGTTTTTGGCTATTGGTGCTCGGCACCGTGCCTATGGCGCTGAGGCGAGACACGTCAACCAGATGCAGCAGTCCTTTTTTCGTTTGTTTCCAGATTTTGTGGGCCGAGACGTGTTTGATTGCTGCCAGGAGGATTGGCGCCAATTTTGGTTTACTCTGACGGAATGCTTTGAGCGCGGCGGCAGAAGCTCGGAGGGTGACAAATATGGCAAGCTGCGCCAACTCCAAATAGCTAAGCGACTGAAGGATGATTTTGCCTTGATTAAGCAGCGCCAGGACGGGCTTGAGACGGGAAAGCAGTTTGTTGGAGTCCTGTACGGCAAAGCCATTGAAATGGAGCCAAGCCTTGCACGTTTTACCGCCCTCGTGGATCTCCGAACCAGCAGGCGTGTGTTTGATTACTTTGTGGAGATATCTAATATACTTGACGACCTTGAAAAGGCGGGACAATCTTTGGAGGAGCTCGGGGCACGGCACATAGCCTACAACGTCAAGGTGGATGACCTACGTGCATTTACCAAACCCTTCATCTATGCATGTCACCATTTTCTGGAGGACATGTGGAATGTGCCAATGGAGTCCCGATTTCATTGGATGTGGGGTGTTATTCTTGATAAAATGTCTTCAGGCATGGGAAGAAAGCTCAAGGACGCGTCCAGCGTGCGGGTTCCAGATGGCTCAAAACCATTTTGTTTGCTTTTTGCTTCCATTG